ACAGCCGGGCCGGGGTGTGGTGATGGTGCTTCCCTCAGCAAACGGCAGCGCCGTGTCTCCGGGTCGCCTGGAGCCCCATTATGTGGAGCTGGGAGCTTTGCTCCTGCCTGGAGGAGGCCAAAAGCAGTGGCATGAAGACATTACTCAGGATCTCCGAAATCATCTTGTTCATAAATTGTGAGTAGCTAATATCAAAATAACATCCTCTTCGGTGACTTGCTGCCTCCGAGCTCACGCTGTGTGTGTGTGTGTGTGTGAGAGGAGGAAGCCCACCTACCAAAACCAAGGAGGCAGTAAGAGTTGTTGGGCAGGGGAAGCAGAAGCATGACAGAGGTGTTCTTGCTGTCCGTGTCTTGAATGGAGCTGCCCGTGCTGGTTTGGGGCTGTTGTCTCGAAAGCGTCCCGCTCCCCACTCAGGCCGTCAGTGCGGGGAAGGTGTCTCCAGGGAAGAGGAGCGGCTTCTTGCTCTGTCAGAAGGCTTGCTCCCTGCTTTGTTTTTTTGAATCGCTGGTGCTGGTGCCCATGTCCTGGTCTGGAGCCGTCCTAACCACTTGCCCGCTTTGTCTTCAGAGTGCAAGCCATATTTCCTACTCCTGACCCTGCTGCGCTGAAGGATCGGCGTATGGAGAACCTGGTGGCGTACGCTCGGAAAGTGGAAGGAGATATGTATGAATCGGCAAACAGCAGGGTGAGAGGCCATCAGGTGTCCCCCCGCAGAGCTGCTGCTTTGCTTCCCTGGAGAAGAGTTTGTATGTGGGTTTGTGGGAGGAGTGCAGAAATACAGACTGAGGAGTTTCTGTGGGAATGACGGTGCGGTTGGGGAGAGGAGGGGGAGGAAAGTGTAGAGGAGAGGGCCAGGCTGAGGGGTGTGGTAGGAGGGGTTGCTTGCTGTTCTGGGCCTAGGAAGCAGGCAGCTGCAGGCTTGTGGCTGGGCATGCCAGGAGCGGGGGCGGTGTCTGTGCTGGTGTGCTGTGCCCGGGACTTCTCCGGGTCTCCCGAAGGCAGCGTGAAGCTCTTCATTGTGGCTCTCCGCAAGGAGCGTTAGACACAAGAAGCAAAACTTCCAGAGGCGTCCGTCCTACTGGCTGTTGCAGGAAT